TATATATGTGTGTGTTTTTCTAATTGATTGAAATTGATTAGAAAACACAAAAGTTAATGGATCCTACAATTTATTTAATGACTCTTTATTATGATTTTGTAATTTATTCAATTCTCTTTATTATATGTCATAGATAATAATAATAATTCCCCTAAAAAAAAGATAATAATAATAATATAATAATTAATTTGGATAAATTTATTTTTACATTAAATATACGTGTTATAAAATTATTTCTTAATATAAATATATATAATAAAATTATTTATTTTTAGCTTTATTTTATTTCTTATTTTTTATTTAAATTTTTACATTTTAACAAATATTCACGAACCTGTAAATACCTACTAATGTATAAAATAAAACTCATAAATACTTACTAAATGAATTCGAACACTAACACTAAACGAGGTGGGTGGGGACTACTATTAACCTTTGCCTCATCCCGTCGGTTGTCATCCATATGTATAACAAGCATCAAAATAATATGCTTTACTTTTAAATAAATATAATTATAAGGATAAATTTTTAAAAAATAATGGAAAAAGAAATAGTAATTTCAAAATTAGATACATGATTAAAGTTGTATAAAATAAAAAGTATGTGTAAGTTACACTTTACAAAAATAGACTAATTGTTAACTTTGAGGTGATGAAAACCTTTATGTGCGTGACCTTATGGGATGATTATGAAGATGTTGTGACAAGTAATATGAGATATGATGAGACATGATAAGTGAAATGTTGAGTTAATGAAATAGTGGATGTGTGACATATGCATCCAACCAATCATTATTACACTAATATGTTTTTAGTTAAATTACACTTTTATCCTTCTATTTTTGTCAATTTGTAATTTAAGTCCTTTTATTTTAAAATAGAAACATATAATCCTTCTAATATAAAAAAATACGAAATTTTAGTCTTCTTGTCATTAACATATATTAATCTTTAAATTTTAACATTTATTTATACTTAAGTAACGTGACATTTAAGAATATGACATTTGAAGATATTTTTTTAAAATAATATAAATAAAATTTATTAATAAAATAAATACTAATCACTCATTAAAATATATACAAACAAAATAAAATTGTATATGTTACTTTTTATTTTTTATCCCTACATGTCATGTTATTAAATATAAAGATACTTAAGTGATTGCCGACCACAAAATGACGTCAAAATTTAATGATCAATAAATATCAAATTGATGATAGAACCAAAATCTTGTATTTTTAAAAATAGGAGACTAATTGTCTTATTTTAAAATAGAGGATCAAAATTGTAATTGTGTAATACCCCAATTTTCATAAAATTTTATTAATAATATGATAGTAATTATTTTAATATTTTAAATGTGTTTATTCAAGGTTTTGATATTATTTAATTATCTACATGAGCTCTATTTTATTATAAACCTTGATTTATAATTATTATTTTAATTAGTGAAGTAGGAGTTATTTTATAAAGTATATTTTATTATTATGTTCATATTATTTGATTAAAGAAAGAAATATATTTCATTCTATATATATTATATTAATTATTTTATTAAAAAAAAGAAGGAAGGATGTGTTGGTAAATGATTATTTATTATTATTATTATTTATTTTATTAATTGAGAAAAAGGATTAAGGAACAGAAGTTAGAAGTCATTTTTTCACGTATTCACTTCTGATTCTCATTTTTCTCTCTTACGTTCTGTAGAACGAAGAGACCTTGGAGAAGAAGCCTAACTAGATTCTGCTCGTGCCTCATCCTCTACTCATCAAGGTAAGGGGGGAGTGAGAAACCTCACTCGGGGTGTGGGAATATTTTTTGGGTAGTTAGAGTCGGATTGACCCCCAATCCCTTGCCTGATGTATGCGTATAGGAACAGACACTTTATAAAAGTTTTCTGTTTTAATTTCTGATTGTTCTGTTGCCTTGTGTGATTCTAAGTGTGAATGTGTTCAATTTCAAGAATCGATTAGTTTTGATATGAATTTGAGTGCTCTGTGAGTTCCTACAGGAAACCCTATGAGAAATAGGCTTGAATATTTTCTGTTTTGGCTTCTAAGTATTCTATTGTGTTCCTTGATAAATGTTGAGCATGAATATGTGTTTAATTTTGAAATTAGATATGTTTGATAGCAAGATTGACCCTTATCCTTTGCCTGCCCATGGAAACAAACACTTTATGAATTTTTTCTGTTTTGCTTTTTGATTGTTTTGTTGCGTTCTTTATTGTGTGATTATGAATATGAATATGTGCTTAATTTTGAAAATAGATAATTTTGATAGTAAGATTGGCCCCCAATCCTTTGCCTTACTATGAAAATAGACACTTTATGAATGTTTTTTATTTTACTTTTTGACTGCTCTGTTGTGTTCCTCGTATGATTCTAAGTATGAATATATGTTTAATAATTTTGAAAATACATAAGATTTTATATGAATTAGAGTGTTTTGTGGGTTCTTGTGGGAAACACTACGAGAAACAATTAAGGACATGATCTTTTGATGAAAACCTTTATGTGCGTGACCTTATGGGATGATTATGAAGATGTTGTGACAAGTAATATGAGATATGATGAGACATGATAAGTGAAATGTTGAGTTAATGAAATAGTGGATGTGTGACATATGCATCATGTGCATATATGACTCTAGGTGTGCCGCTTAGGCCGATATTAAATAATTTTTAAATTTTTTAAAATTTTACAAACTTAATATATATATTAAATATTAAATAATTAAAATTTAACGTAAAATATAAATTATGAAATAAAATAAATTTAAATACACTTAATCACGTAATAAATGGATTACTCAACTCTCCTCTCTCTGTCTCTCTATATCTATATAAAATAAGGAAAGGATTCAAAGGACAGCGCAAATTGACTTGGATTTGAGTGGTTGAACTGCGAACTACTCGAGTCCAATACTAGCCACGAGAAGGGTGTGAGCATTTAATAAGAGAAAATTAAATGTTGGTTGTAGCAGTAGCAGTAGCAGGCAGTGAGAAAGGTGTGTGAGCATAATAGGCATAGCAAGAAGAAGATAAAATTGGAGATTGAAGGGAATGGAGGGTGAGCCTGAGCCTAATTCCCAACTCAAAGACAGCACCGACGCTGAACTCTCCAAAATTCGTCTCATGAGAGCCTTCGTTGAAGCCAGAGATCCCTCTTCTAAGGTACCCACTTCACATCATCCTACAACTAAACTAACTCTCATTCCTTTCTGCCCTTTTTCTCTTTTTAAAACTATACCTCCATTTTTCTCTCAACGGTTAAAATCAAATCCAAAGACATAATAAGTAATAGCACTCTTAGATCAATTGCCCTATGGACAAAACTATTGTCACCTTCATATTTCTTCTCTTGGCTAAGCACAATATGGAATCATCTCATCTTTAATAGTCATATGACTAAAATATTATATATAAGTGAGGGGTAATTTTTTTTTAATATTTTTTATAGAATTTAGTTAGGCCCAACTCCACGTTCTTATGATTTAATCAAAATATAAATTATTGTTTTCTACATCTAGAATTCATATTTTGCACCCATTATTATTGTTCTAGAATGGATGTTCTAGAACAAACATAAAATGGGTGTAGGATATAGTAAGCTAAATGCAGGAAGCAATTACCAGAAAACATTCTAATGATCGTTGTTGGAATTATGTAATCATTATGGAACTACCTGCAATACAATGTCCCGCAACTATTAGAAAACACTAATGATTGTGTTGAACTTTTGTAGCCATCATGGAACTACCTACAATACAATGTCCCGTTTGCAAATTGTGATCAACAGTCTTCGACTAGAAATATTGTGTTAAAGATTCACATCGACTAATTATAATTTATAATAGATAAATTAGTGCATATAAGTGAGTAAATCCTTAGTATTTATCCTACATAGATGATTTTATAGGATTCAGTTAAATTCAAATTCGTGTTTTCAAATGTCCAAAAACAAAAATTGACTATTTTCCTTTTTAATTTTTGCTTTTAAGAAAACCTAAAGCTGTTGTGAATATTAGAAGGCAAAATTCATGATACCCAGGTTTTTTGTTCAGTAAGGATTAGGCAGCAAGTAGTTGGAATTTAATTTGGTTGAGCCTTGGTGGGCAGGAAGTAGATGATTTGATGATTAGAAGATTCTTGCGTGCTCGTGATTTGGATGTGGAGAAGGCCTCGGCAATGTTCCTCAAGTACTTGAAATGGAAACGTTCATTTGTTCCAAATGGTTATATATCCCCCTCAGAGATTGCCGAAGATATTGCACATGACAAGATGTTCGTGCAAGGGGTCGACAAGAAGGGTCGACCTATAGCTATTGCCTTTGCTGCGAAACATTTTCAAAGCAAAAATGGTCCAGAGGGATTCAAACGTATGAGATGCCATTACAATTCAATTCCTATAGCCTTTCATTTCAAGTCCTCTAATCACAGAATAATATGTTACCAATTTCGACTCTCAGTCACAGACAAGTACTTTTTCTGTATGCAGGGTATGTAGTCTTTGCTCTTGAGAAGCTATGTTCAAGGTAAAACCCCTTTTCCTATATTAATTCATACACACATGTTTTTACTCTCTAATAAAATATGGAAGTTAAACACTAATTTAGTCCATCCAGTTCATATTTCCGGTCAATTTTAGTCATTGAATTTGTTTGAATGATTTTTTTCCCCCAAACAATACTTATAGGAAAAAATAAAACAAGTTTCTGCATAAATTAAAAATAAGTTTCTAGAGAAATTAATATGAAAGTTTTTCTAAATTAACTTATGCAAAATTCAATTTTAGTTTATGGAGAAAATCTAATTTTATTTATTTTTTATCCAATTAGGTCCATTCAAATTGCGCAGAAATAAATTGAATTATTAATTTTGGTAATTTTAATTCAATTTGATCTGGAATATTAGAAATTATATTGACTTAATAGTTATCAAATTCACGGATTAACTTCAATTGATTTAATAAAGTTTTTTTTTTTTGTAAAGACCCAAATTTACCAATTACCACTGATGTCACTTTTAAGATCGAAGGCTATGTTTGGATAATTGTTGGGAACGTGCTTTTGAGAATTCCAATACACACTTCTGAATTTTAAGACACAACATGAAGAAAAAAATAATTTATCACTTTGAGAATAAAAGTTAATTAATTTATCCTTCCAACTGAGTCTGGGATATATATATATATATATATGCCGTTGCATATTTGACCATAGACGTGAAATTTAAAAGTTGAAATATGATACATAACCTACACTTAGAAGTGTGAATTTAGTTATAGAAGATTATAAAGATTGTTAATATACCCATTTAACATGACAGAATGCCACCGGGGCAAGAAAAGTTTCTTGCCATTGCAGACGTTAAGGGATGGGGATATGCAAACAGTGACCTTCGTGGATACCTTAATTCTCTATCCATTTTGCAGGTACAGGTCTCCTTTCATTCATTAACCATTTCTCTCCATAGATCTTGTGCATAAGTGTTTTTTTTGGTGTTTAATCGGAAACTTGAATGATTTCATGACCCTTTTTTCTGATTGCAGGATTGTTACCCCGAAAGATTGGGGAAGTTGTTTATTGTACACGCACCTTATATGTTTATGAAAGTTTGGAAAATTGTTTACCCTTTCATTGACGACAATACCAAGAGAAAGGTGACACTTCAAATTTATAATGCATATTACATTTGTATGAGAGATGCTGTAGGAGCATATTTTGAATGTTGCTCTTCTGTGCAGATAGTATTCGTGGAAAACAAAAAGCTGAAATCAACACTGCTGGAAGAGATAGATGAGAGTCAACTCCCAGAAATATATGGGGGACAAATGCCATTAGTTCCTATCCAAGATAGCTAATTAAAATTGTTTAAATCCTTGTTTGCCAATTTAATTTCTTCATATATTTCAATCTTTGTACCCGGATTTAATTACATATAGGAGCTCTATAGCTGGTCAGGTTATCTTAGCAGATGCATATAACCTTGATTATGCATTTGCTTAATGCTTGTAACAAGCTATTTCACAAGAACTTGTTCTTTGTCTCCTATATATCTGCAACATCAAAGTATTATGGGTAAAATATCATTGGTGTGCCTGAAAGTGTATGTCATTTACATTTTAATTCTTGAAAGTATAAAAAACCAAAAAAGACTCTTTGAAAGCGTAAAATATTGTTTATTTTAATTTAAAATTAAAAAAATATATATGACTTAAGCAATAATATTAATACATAATTCAGAACTAAAATGATAATTTACTTTTAGAGACTTAAATAAAACAATTAAAATTTTCGGAGACTTATGTAGAATGCCTTTACTTTTGTGGACTAAAATATCATCAATATGCACTTTCAAATAGTATTTTACCCAATTATTAACTATACCCGAGGAAGAAAGGTATCTATTCAAAGGTAAAGCATAACATTGTCAACAACAAAATTCATATCAATTATATCTGGTAAATTTTTTTGGGTCTAATCATACCATTGATTTGGAATCTGCTTAGCCCATCTATGTCAATTTACAGTACATTTCTAAGTTAATCACAGCCCACGGTCTACAGCCCATAATGAATAATTTCTACACAAGTTCTATCTCATAATTTTGGGTCACACGAATAGTGTGACATGGGTACAAATTTTCCCTCATTTGTTAAACAACAATTAATGCAAATATAAATTTGCTATATTTTCTTGATCAAAAGAATATTGCTATATTTTCATTTTGAATCATCTCTCAATTTTCTGCCTCTTTAGACATCGAACAATCCTTAATTTTTTATTCACTAATAAATTCATACGTGCTGGATTTGCTACAACCGAACTGAAGTATAACACAAGGTGCCATAGGGAGTGTTTGATTAAGCCTTCGAATATTAAGATGAAAGCATCCACGAGTCCAATCAGTATTCGAAAAGTATCCAAATTATTTAAATGGAAAAATAGCTAGACTAGGTAAAAGTCACCATTTTTAAATTTTAATAAGCAGTGGCAAAGAAGATGATAGGACTTGCTATTGCTTGCGTTAGAGACGAATTGTTTTATATCCACGGGAAATTCATCGATAATGTTTGAATTTTCTCTATGACTTGTTTATTTTTATAATTTTATATGTATAAATGATATTAAATGTTAATCACAAAAAAATATTTATACACTTAAAACTATAGAAATGGACAAGAAATAGAGAGGATCTTAATTCCACATTGATAAAGATCATTGATAGTATCATGATTAATTTATTAATTATATTTATAAAATATAATTATTTAAAGTATAATTGAGTGTATATGCATGTATGGTTTAGGAGAAAAAATGAAAGGAAAGAAAAAGGATGGAAATGAGTAAACACTCAATTCGACCTTTAAAAGATGGTAGAGGTGGTCGATACATTCTTGAAAGATTTTTTGTGGCACTTGGATTCCTAAATTTTAACTCTGCTATGTAAATTAGTCATTCAACATACTTTGAGAATAACAAAACCCTACAAAACAATTTGTTCTAATCAAGAATGATTTAAGTAGAAATTAAGAGGAACAACCCAAAGTTAACAAGTTACAAGCTCCCTTTACCTCTAAATTAATTAGAACCAGGGGAAGAAGAAGAAAACTGAGTTTCTTAGACCAGCTTTGCAAGACCATTACCACACTCTATTTATCGGCTTTGAAGCTTTGAATCATCAACCAACAACTAAATCTAACACTCAAGGAAAGGTGGAAGAAGTCCGTGAAGATGGAAAAGAAATGGTTTGCCTCTCTAAGTTTTTTGATAAAAATAAACTTATAATGTTTATTTCTTAAGAAATATCTTATACACTTTTCCCTAACAAGTCAGCTTGACTCTTGCTCAAAATAACTCTCAAATAATAAAATTCATTAAGATTCCTAAATCTTTAAAATTTTACCACAATCAATCAATTAATCATCACAACATTTAAATTAATAAAATTAATAATATTAATAAAATTGCACAATATTATAGTTGGTGTTGTTTGGTCATGTGTATTCAAATATTATGATCTTGTATTCGATTATGGGTTTTTGTATTCGAATGGATATGCTAGTTAGTTGCTTTAATTCAAAAGGACTAGCATTTTTTTAGGTGTTTTATCCAAATGTATATGGAAAAACTTTTACTTTTATTCAAATAACATGGATCTTATATTCAAATGCATGGCTGTTGTATTCGAATGCATAAACTTCAATACAACAACATGAATTTATTCAAATAATTATGTTGTTTATTTGAGTAAACAATATTTCAGTAAAATATTTAGTTGGTTGTATTCAAATAACATGCATGCTATTCGAATACATGTTTGATTTATTCGAATGAAAAATGAAGTTAACCAAATAAAAGAAATAAAAAAAAATTAAACATACGTAACTTGAAAAAGATAAAATTATAATTTTTTAATTATAATTTTGTTTATCCCAATTCATTTAAATTAAACAACTTTATAATATTATTTATCTTTTATTTTTTTAGTTATTTCTCTCAAACCAAACAAATTCATTTAGACTCAGTTTTTTACTTATTTCAACTCATTTATTTTTTTCTCTTCTATTTTTCTCTATCTTATTTATCACATATTTATTTTCTCTAATTAAACAAGGTGATAATTTTTTTAGTACTATTATTTTTTATAGCGATCACTAAATAATTAGTAATTTATCTCCAAGCATGTGAATATATTTATACGAATTATTTCGGTTTAACATGATTTAAAGTTGATATTTTAAATATATAATTGTATTAACTATTAAAAAATTAATAAATCTTATCCAAGAAAAAAAAAATTTATAAGAGATATATGTAATTTATAAAAAAAATATTTTTTTTGTAGCAATATAGTATAAATTATTAAAATTTAAGAGAATCACATGTATTAAAAGATGAATTAAAAGAATTGAAGTAACACAAGATATTGTTTTGAAGATCTGGGTGGTGCAATTGAAGGCAGTGGTGAGTGATGAGAACTGAGAAGAGTGACATTAAATAGTAAAAAAGGTGTTGGCAATGGGAAGTAGTGGTGTTGGCAAGTAAGTACAGAAATCAGGCTTTTTAACTTTGCAACTGTAACAACCTGACTCTTGCTGTACTTTCCTGCTCTGAGTCACTGTTTCACGTTGCCAAGGAATAGTGTTACATTGCTTAATTACTCTCATTAATGACTTCACTGTGCATACACGTCCTTTCTTGTCTCTTTCCTTAATCAGTCTTCCTGCTTTCTCAAAAGCTAAAAACCATCTCAGTGAGATTTTCTGTAACACCCTAACAGTCTATTGCCCTCTCCTCAGTACCTCTTTTACCTTTCACATCTCTTTCTAGATTAACACTAAGGATTTGTTTATATTTGAGGATGGAAAAAGGGAGTGAAAAAGAAGGAATTTGAAGGAAAAGTGAGTGGAAAGTGAGGTTGTTTGGATTAAAGGAAAGTGAGTGAAAAGCGTTTCTTGTGGGAAACACTACGAGAAACAATTAAGGACATGATCTTTTGATGAAAACCTTTATGTGCGTGACCTTATGGGATGATTATGAAGATGTTGTGACAAGTAATATGAGATATGATGAGACATGATAAGTGAAATGTTGAGTTAATGAAATAGTGGATGTGTGACATATGCATCATGTGCATATATGACTCTAGGTGTGCCGCTTAGGCCGCATGCCAGTGATGTATTAAGCTATTCTAGGTGTGTTGCCAAACAAAATAAAATTGTATATGTTACTTTTTATTTTTTATCCCTACATGTCATGTTATTAAATATAAAGATACTTAAGTGATTGCCGACCACAAAATGACGTCAAAATTTAATGATCAATAAATATCAAATTGATGATAGAACCAAAATCTTGTATTTTTAAAAATAGGAGACTAATTGTCTTATTTTAAAATAGAGGATCAAAATTGTAATTGTGTAATACCCCAATTTTCATAAAATTTTATTAATAATATGATAGTAATTATTTTAATATTTTAAATGTGTTTATTCAAGGTTTTGATATTATTTAATTATCTACATGAGCTCTATTTTATTATAAACCTTGATTTATAATTATTATTTTAATTAGTGAAGTAGGAGTTATTTTATAAAGTATATTTTATTATTATGTTCATATTATTTGATTAAAGAAAGAAATATATTTCATTCTATATATATTATATTAATTATTTTATTAAAAAAAAGAAGGAAGGATGTGTTGGTAAATGATTATTTATTATTATTATTATTTATTTTATTAATTGAGAAAAAGGATTAAGGAACAGAAGTTAGAAGTCATTTTTTCACGTATTCACTTCTGATTCTCATTTTTCTCTCTTACGTTCTGTAGAACGAAGAGACCTTGGAGAAGAAGCCTAACTAGATTCTGCTCGTGCCTCATCCTCTACTCATCAAGGTAAGGGGGGAGTGAGAAACCTCACTCGGGGTGTGGGAATATTTTTTGGGTAGTTAGAGTCGGATTGACCCCCAATCCCTTGCCTGATGTATGCGTATAGGAACAGACACTTTATAAAAGTTTTCTGTTTTAATTTCTGATTGTTCTGTTGCCTTGTGTGATTCTAAGTGTGAATGTGTTCAATTTCAAGAATCGATTAGTTTTGATATGAATTTGAGTGCTCTGTGAGTTCCTACAGGAAACCCTATGAGAAATAGGCTTGAATATTTTCTGTTTTGGCTTCTAAGTATTCTATTGTGTTCCTTGATAAATGTTGAGCATGAATATGTGTTTAATTTTGAAATTAGATATGTTTGATAGCAAGATTGACCCTTATCCTTTGCCTGCCCATGGAAACAAACACTTTATGAATTTTTTCTGTTTTGCTTTTTGATTGTTTTGTTGCGTTCTTTATTGTGTGATTATGAATATGAATATGTGCTTAATTTTGAAAATAGATAATTTTGATAGTAAGATTGGCCCCCAATCCTTTGCCTTACTATGAAAATAGACACTTTATGAATGTTTTTTATTTTACTTTTTGACTGCTCTGTTGTGTTCCTCGTATGATTCTAAGTATGAATATATGTTTAATAATTTTGAAAATACATAAGATTTTATATGAATTAGAGTGTTTTGTGGGTTCTTGTGGG